TCTGAAATCCCAACGTCTCATTTATTAATGGATGTTTGTCAATGCCATAGCATTTGTTTAACTGGAACTAGGAAAACTATAAGAAATCCAACTTACATATCTGAGAATGATCTGTTAGTATATACCGCTATCTACAGCCATCCACCTGCTGGGAGGGAATGTTGGGGAGAAGGTGGCATTTGCCTTCAGTGATCCATTTTCCTGAACTGGCTTACCAGTTTCTTTTCCATCCTCCATAGGACATACTCCCCTTGCTTTTGCCCTTGTTGTCAATGTAAAAAGATGATGCAGTTTGTTCCCTACTGTGGTCCTTTAGATCCATTCATCTGAAATGTATATGTAACGTTTTGATGGAAAGTTAAACCTTTTGGGGGAAGTATGGGGGGTAGAATAAAGATGTTTTGAAAGAAAAAAAATGTCATCTCTTAGGCAGTGTAATGTTTATCAATTGGACATTTTTCCTTGTTAGTTTTGATTATGAAGATGCAGGCTACCAGACTGCAGAACTTGTAAAAATGGATATTCTACTGAATGGAAATACTGTAGAGGAGCTAGTAACTGTTGTACACAAGTAAGTTGAATAGAAACTAATCATGGAATGTGAAAACAACCACTTTTGACACTTTCTTTCTTTTCCCAAAAGGGTCTTAATTTATAAAAACTTAAAGGGGCCCTGGGGGAGAGGCAGGCCGGCTTCTCAGGAGTCAGGGGCATTTGGGCAGATGTGCTTGTGGGCGCGGGGAGGGGGGGACGGGGGACGGGCAAGGAAGGGATGTCCCGAGTGACATATTTTTATTTAATTATCGGTTGCTCATTTTAATTTGACAGCTGTGATTTGAAAATGTAAAGGTAATTAAATTTCCCAGTGCTAGTTTCCCTTCCATTCTTTTTCCATGCTTCTCTTTCCAAACTGTTAAAATATAAAGGGAGAATGAAGTACAGTAGTCAGAATAGTGTCATGGGAAGAACTGTTTACCAGGTAAGACAAAGTAAAAGAAAGTAGTTTCTAAACTTTATTATCGATTTA